CATTAAACAAACAAATGTAAAGAAAAAATGAAGACAATTCCATTCACAGTATCATCAAAAATAAAATACTCAGAAAGTAAACTGAAAAAGAAAAAAGTATACATACAGTATAGACATATAATGGAATATTGCAGAGCCTTTAAAAATAAGGGGATTAAACTATTTGCAGCAGGGATGAACCTGGAGAACATGATCTAAGTGAAATAAGGCAGACCCAGAAACGCGAGCACACTCACCTAAGTTATATCTAAAGTAGCCAAACTCAGAGAAGCAAGAACAGGGGCCACCAGGAACTGGCAGCTAAAGGGCGATGCCTAGCTGTCTATCCATCAATGGGCATCAAAGTTTCAGTTGTACAAGATAAATAAATTCTAGATCTGCTACACCACATGCTGACCATAGTAAACAATACTATATTACACATCTTTTTTCCTTTGTTTGTGTTTGTTGGTTGTAGATTTTCAAGACGGGGTGGCTTTTGTAGTCCCAGCTCTCCTGGAACTCTGCAGAGTTCTGGCCTGGAACTCAGAGATCTGCCTGCCTGTCTCCTGAATGCTAGGACTGAAGGCATGCCTCACCACCGCCCAGTTTCCAGCTTCTTTTTTTTTTAATATTTATTTATTTATTTATTTATTATGTATACAATATTCTGTCTGTGTGTATGTCTGCAGGCCAGAAGAGGGCACCAGACCTCATTACAGATGGTTGTGAATTGAACTCAGGACCTTTGGAAGAGCAGGCAATGCTCTTAACCACTGAGCCATCTCTCCAGCCCCTCCAGCTTCTTTTTTAAAGTGTAAGGTTTACTCACTGAAGAACGTAAAACCCTAAATGAAGACTTTAGATCAGTAAATAAAATTCTCATGTTCAATGTGGTAAGATAGGAATTCTCCCCAAACTGATGCAGATTCAAAACAATCTCTACCAAAACTCAAGTGGCCTTTTTTCAGATGCAGATTGCCCAACCCTAAAATTATTTTAAAATGGGCCAGGTGGTGGTGGCACACATCTTTAATCCCAGTACTCAGGAGGCAGAAACAGGCAGATCTCTGTGAGTTCAAGGCCATCCTGGTCTATAGAAAGTTCCAAGACAGACAGCGTTACAGGGGGCTGGGGAGACGGTCTAGTGGTTAAGAGCCCTGGCTGCTCTTCCAAAGGCCCACGGTTCAATTCCCAGCACCCACATGGCAGCTCACAGCTCTGTAGCTCCAGTTCCAGGGGATCTGACACCTTCACACAGACATACATGAAGGAAAAATACCAACACGCATAAAGTAAATAAATACACTTTAAAAAATAATTAAAATAAAAATGGACCATAAGTTGACTAGCTGTGGCATCAAAAGAGATATATGAATGGCTGTAAAAATAATTTGGTGGTTGAGTTAGGCATGGTTTGTTGTTTAGCATGTTTTTTTGTTTGTTGTTGTTCGGTTTTTTTGCTTTTTTGTTTTTTTGTTTTTTTTGAGACAGTGTCTCTGTGTAGCTTGGGCTGTCCTGGAACTCACTCGGTAGACCAAGCTGACCTCGAACTCACAGACATCAGCCTGCTTCGGTCTCTGCCTCTAAAGTACTAGGATTAAAGGCATGCACCACCACCACCTGGCCTTGTTTAGCATGTTTAACAAACTATGAGAAAGAAAGATAGAAGAGAACAATTATGATTACTGACTATATGAAAAGGTAATAACACTATGACTAGTAAGGAAATAGTAACTCAAAACTTCAATGAGCTAGTCACTTCATAGCCACATGACCACATCATATCTGTTTTAATTGAAAAGGACAGACAATAATAAGTGTTGACAAGGAGTTAGAGGGATGGCTCAGCTGGTGAGAACACTGACTGTTCTTCCAGAGGACCCTGGTTCAATTCCAACCACTCACATAGCAGCTCACAACTCTCTGTAACTCCAGTTCCTGGAGAGCCAAGCAAAACACCAATGCACATGAAATATTAATTAATTAATTATTGACAGGACATGAAGAAAACTTGGCTTCTCAAATACTTGACTGTTGAGCATGCAACATGGTACTGCCACTTTGAGAAATAATTTGGAGCTTTCTCTGAAAGCTAAGCAAGACACAGTAATTCTCTTCCCATGTGTTTACTCATAAAAAGGAAACCATACATCCACATAAAGACTTGTAAATAAACATTCATGGTGTCATCACTTTCAACAGCCTGAAACTGGAAACAATTCAAATACCTATCAACTGGCCGACTGGCAAATGTGGTATAGCCATAAAATAGATATTACTTATCAGCAATTAAAAGGAATAAAGTCAAAAAAGAAAAAAGAAAAGAAAGTCCCAATACATGCTACAATATAGAAAAGTCTCAAAGGTGTGCTAAGTGAAAGATGTCAAACCTAAAAAGTGACATGATCCCACTATGCAGAATGGCCAGAGGAAGTAAAAAGAGGGAGCGGGACAAACTGGTGACTGCCCAGGCAGGGCTGGGACTTTGGGGATTGGAGACCAACCACAAACAGGCTGCCGAATATTTTCAGGTGGACATAAAACCGTATTCTAAAGAAAGCCTGCGACAGTCTCAATCCTATACATTTATTAAGAACTACTGAATTATACACTCAAAATGGATGAATTAAATTTTTTTGTTTTTTCTTTGTTTTGTTTTTTGAGGCAGGGTTTCTCTCTCCTGGAACTCGCTCTGTAGACCAGGCTGGCCTCGAACTGGATGAATTATTTTTGACAGTGTGCCAAAAGACTGAGTTCTTTAACAATACCACTCCAAAAAGAAATGAAAGCAAACTCACACGAAAGTTTGCGGACAAATATTACTCACAATAGCCGAGAGATGGAAGCTCAAGACCCTATCCACTGGCAGACATAAGGAAATGCCCGTGCAAAGGAGCATTACTCAGCAAAACAGTAACAATGCAGTGCTGACACATGCCACGACATGCACAAATTCAAACACTGTATGCTGTGTTATGGAGCCCAACCACAAAGACTACATTCTGTACTCGTGTACTTACATGAAATACTGACAAATGCCTAGAGATACAAAGGAGATGAAGTGATTGGTTACTCAGAGCCAGGATAGGGGCAAAATTGAGTGACAGCTAATGGATATGAGAACTGGTCGGCTAGTTTCTTGATTGGGTGGTACTAAGGATCGACTCAGCCTCCCCCACGCAAAGCCAGCGTTACATCACTGGGCCACATTGCTGACCCATATGATGATTTTAGGGGTAAAAACATACTTTAGATTTGAGGACAGTAATTGTGCAACTCTGAATATACCTTAAAACTCCACTGAACGTGTACATTTCTAATCAATTAAATGGTATGTGGTTAGTATTTCAATGCTTCTACCTCTCCCCACTCAGACCCATTCACAAAAAAAAAAAAAAAAAAAAGCTACACAACCTGTGAACAGGTAAAATCACCAACCCTGATTTGATAGGCCCATCACAACCACGGAAGAAACTTGGGATAGAAAAACTCCAAAGTTTCAAATTCTTTCCAAAACATGCTCTGCGTATTTTGTAACTGTCCATGCCTTCAAAGTACAATGATTAATCCAAGCAGTCAAGTCTAAAGTAGGATAACATTGCACGCCTTTGATCGCAGCGCTTGGGAGGTAGAGGCAGAGGCAGGCGGATCTCTGTGAGTTTGGGGGCCTGATCTATACGGCAAGTTCCAGGACAACCAAGGCTCCAGAGAGACCCTATCCTGCTTCGAAACCCCGCCTCTCCCCCCCAAAAAAAGTAACATTAAATAATGAAATTTTAATAGTTGAAGACACTTCAAATTTCTACTTCTCGTATTTACTGGATGTACTAACTACAGCCACATGAATGAATTGCACTGCCTTCTATAAACCTTATTTCTAGTCTCACATGAAGTCAGTCAACGCTCTGAAGAAACTGTAACCCACAAATATACAATCTTATCTCAGTAAGGCCCGGACCCACATTGTTCCGATCCCGGCACTTAGGGAAAGTAAGTAATCTGCCTCCTAAAGAGACACGGAGAAAAAGAAAAGCAAAAATCTGAAGCTCAAAGGAGCGACTTCTCTTAGGTTCTCACTGCCGGATTAAAACAGAAACCACAGAGTAATGTCATCTACACGAGAAAGATGTCCCGGGGTTACAGTGACGCGGCTCCCATTTTACTCTCACTAGATAGAGTACTAAGAACTTAAAGAAAGGCTATTCTGTTGAGAACGTGGCTCTCTGAGGACAGCCCAGCAAGTTGGCCCAGGAGGGGCATCGGAAACTGCCCTGGGGCTGACTCCCGGCACCGGGAGTTATTTTTCTGTCCTTTGCTGGCAGAATGAAAACGTCCCACTGGAGCCTTGAGTGAGTCCAGCCGCCGCGCGCGTAGCGCGTGGGGCAGAGGCGGTACTAAGGCGCGCGGAGCGCCCACGACACTCGCGGCGAGGTCTCGCAGGGCCAGCTCCGCCGGCAGGGGACCCGTGAGGCGGGCACCGGACCAGGGCGCTCGGAAGAGCCCCAGGTTTTTTGTTGTTGTTTTGTAGCAAACGCAGATCGCGATCGCAGAGCCCCGCTCCCCCGGGGACCGGGAGGCGCCGGCGGCGACAGAGGGCTCGCGGAGAGTGAGAATAAAAGAACAGCGGGGTACAACCTGTCGTGCCCGCCCGGGTGGCGGGGTGCAGGCCCGACGGCGACGGAAACTGCGCCCGGGACGCGCTTCCCCCCGCAGCCCGGCCGCCGGGCGATGACTGGCGCCGCGAGGTAAACAGCGCGCGCCGCGGTCCCTCGGCGCCACGACCGTTGCCCCGGGCCGCTCTGGTGCGGGCTCCCGCCCTGCCCCCAGCTCCGCCGGTGTCACCGCCCCAGCCTCCGGAAAGCCCCTCCGCGGCCGCCGGAGCAAACAACACAGGCGCGGGGCGGGGGCGCCCGGGAGGAGGCGACACTCGGGACGGCCGGGCTGGATCGCCGCGCCCTCCCTCTCCCTCCCGCTCGCTCGCTCGCTCCCGCCGGCCTCGGCCGTCCCCGTGCTCTTACCTGCTCTCCCTCCACGTCGCCGTGTCCCTTGCCCTTCCCTTCAGGGCCACAGACCGGCCGAGCCGCCGCAGACGCCCGCCGTTGGCCGGGCGTCCTGCGGGAAGCCGAAGGGGGCCTCCCCGGGCCACCGCGCGAGCCGCTCCGCACCGTAGGACCAGACAAAACCGCGCTGCGCCCCACCGCCGCCACCACCGCGCGCACCGCCCCACAGACCCCCCCCCAACCGCCGAGGCGACGGAGGCGACACAACCCGGCGCGGGGAAGCAGCGGCCGGCCCCCGCCCTCCGCACCCGCCTCGACTCCTCCCCCTCGGCCTCCTGCCGCCGCCACCAGGACACTGGAGTCCGCCTCCCCCACCCGGCCGCTCCGCGCGCTCCTCCCTCCCCGCGCGCCGCCGGGGAGGCGACACCGCCAGTCACCGCAGCGCCTGTCAAACCGGGCCGGCTATTTATACTCCCCGCCGCCCTCGGGCCCCCCGCAGCCCGCCTCCTGCGCTCTCGAATCCCGCCCTCTCCTCCGCGCCCAACTTCGCCCGAACCCGCCTGCTCAGGTGGACACGCTCGCCACTCGTCCCGCTCCGCGTCCCCGGGGCTTCTCCAACACCCCCACGTCGCGCGCTCTGCGTTGCGGCCGCGGGACGGGCGCGTGGGGACGGCAGGGCCGCGCGTGCACCTGCAGCCGGGCCGGGACGACACGCGCACCCCTTGGGTCCACTCTCGGGTCTCTGCTGTCACCCCTCATTTCTCCCCCCTTCCAACCCGGGGTTCCCTTTCCAGGTCTTCGCGTGACCGCTCCGCACTAGGACTACGCTTTAGGAAAGTGAGGCTTTGGAAAATAAAACTCTTGTCAGCGCGGGTGTTCAGAGTCCCCGCGCGTCTCCGCGCTCGCTGGATGGTGGAGGCGCGGGCCGGCGGGCGGGCGGGCAGCAGCGCGCGGCCCGCCCCACCCGGCCACTGACGCACGTGGCGCCCCGCCCCGCCCGCTCAGCGACCGGGGGCGCCGCCCGCTCCGCCTCCCGGCTCGTCCACAGCGGACCCCGCCCCGTTCCCAGAAATTACCACCGCCCAACGGCCGGGCTGCGCGGCGGTTGGTGCCCGAGGTGGCCGGCGGGCGGGCGGGCGGCCCAGCGCGCAGCTGCGGAGCGCGGCGGGCGGCCCCCCGTTCGGGGAGGGGGGGGGGTCGTCCCGGGGAACCGCGACCGCCCGCCCCAGCCTTTGTCGCTCCTCGCTCCGTCCGCCACCGAGAAGTAACTCAAGTCCCGGGATCTTCGGGGCCAGGGTGAAGGAGCGCGTGCGAGTGGAGGAGGAAGAGGATCTTGTTCCAAGTGTCCGCGAATTGGGGGGGCGGGGGGAGGAAAAAAAAGGGGAAGCCAGCGGGAGCTGCAGGCTTCTGGTTTGCACACTTCCACACAAAGGGGAGCCTCTGAGCAGGGCACTCTCACGCGCCTTCCAGGGCACAAAAGCCAATGACACGGTGCCCGGGATGTCCTGGGTTTGCGGCGGCTCGCTAATGGTCTTTCTTAGGCGCAGTTATGCATGCAAACGCCCGGGTCTCTTCCCGCCCCCACCACCACCATTCCCTGCCGCCGCGGCTTGTATTCGTTTCTTTAACAAAGAGCATCGGCGGCTGTCCCGGTGCGCGCGGGGGCTGATCCTGCTGTGCTCAGACTCTTGCAGCCTCCCTGCGGGAGACTCGACTCTAGGAACAGCCCTCACTGGGTTAATTTCTGGGCTCCAGCCGGACTGTTTTTGATGCTCTACAACCAGTTTTTACGACATCGAAGTCCTGAGCGGTTTCATAGCTGTTTAAATGAACGTGGGAAACGTGGACATGACCCTAGATTGCCTCAAACGTTGGAGACAAACGGGAGCTTGCTGTGTTTTAAGTCCCTGATGAACGTAAGAATTTAACCTCATTTTTTTAAAGCTGTTATCGCCTAGTTGGAGGTGATGCTTTCGTATCTTAAAAAGCAACTTTTTAACGAGACATTCTCACTCTGATCTGTAGCCGAAACCTGAATTAGCATAGTGGTTAATCAACGACCCTCTTAACTCATGGGAAGTTTTCAGTCTTGAGTTCAAAGACTTGGTGACTATTGGCACTGGCACTCCCCTGAACTGCATGCATCTATGAAGTCTCAATAATTTTCAGACCTTAATGTACAGTAGGGTACTGCACACGCAGCCTCCTTTCTGGAGGACGATGTTTATCTCCTGTTTCTCATAAAAATAAATTATCACTTAGGAGAACCACTAGCAGCTTTGATACTTTCTAAAGAAGAACACTGCATCGCTCACATGGCAGGAGCTTGCTTTCTTTAGTTAAAAGCAAATCTTACATGCAGGAACATCCTATTCCTGTTAGCTACTTTGAGAAGGACTGTTACTCCCATTTCCCAACCAGAGTAAGCTGGAAAGTCCCAGGCAAAAACACACTTAACAGCTCTCGGGCGTCCCCCCCCCACCGTTCCAGGCCTGCATACCCTTGAAATGCAGCGCTCTTAGCTGAAGGGGGCTCAACAGGACCCGCTGAACTTCCAGAAGACCTGGGCTGGAGTCCCAGCATCCACATTCTGACTCACAAACATCTGTAATTCCAGTTCCAGGGTATCCAATGCCATTTTTTTCTTGCCTCTGTGGTTATCAGGCTTGCACGTGGTGCCAAGAAATACGTGTAGGCAAAACACACATACAAAATAATAAAACATAAAAATAATAAAGCATTTTAAATGCTTTACAAAAAAAGAAATGTAGATCTGCCATAACTCAGGGTTAGATATTCCTCCATCCTGTTGATGTTGAATTCAGATAACTTTATTTACCTCTGACCAAACCAACATGGACAGAAGTTGTTACAGTGTAAAGATTCTGAAGGTCCTGGCCTCGAGAGGTATTGCATGTTTCTGCTTGCCTCCCCAGCATCCTGGCTTATGCACAATTTGAAGAACATGTCTGGGGAGTCTGCTGGTCCAAGAAAGATCACACACACACACACACACACACACACACACACACACACACAAACTGGGAAAGGGCCTGGAATCATTCCTAATTTATATCCAGAGACCTGTATGTTGTGCAACAGTTTCTTTCAAGATTGAAATATTCCATCCTGCAGGGAAGCACCTTAATCAGGAAGGTAACAACTCAAAAGAGCTTCAGGAAGTCCCTGAAACCCACCAGATTCACTAAGCCCCTTCCCGCCAGAGTAAGCAATAAAAGTTGAGAGTCTCTCTCAGAAGAGAAAAGCCAAACTACAGAGAAGATTCTGATACAAGAGCTACTGTCTGGAAGAAGCAGAAGCAGCCTAGCTACCTGGAAGAGCTTTAGAGCAACTGAGGCACCTGCAAAGGGCACACTCCAGCCTATCGAGCTGCCTGCATGCTGTGCAGTGTGCTCCAGGTTCCCAGCTTTGTGAGCTGTCACTCCTGCTGAGGTGATGTAGCTGTCCCTGAGTCATTTCTGTTCTTGGAAAGAACCCCTCATCCAGCCAGGTGGTGGTGGTGGAAGCCTTTAATCTCAGCACTTGGACAGACACAGAGACAGGTGGATCTCTGTGAGTTCCAGGCCAGCCTGGTCGCCAGAGCACATTCCAGTACTGTCTCCATAGCTACTGGGAAACCCTGTCTCAACAAACAAAGACAAAAAACAAACAAACAAAAAGAACCCCTCACCTATACTCCTGTAAGCAACCCCAATAAAACTCATTGGTTCATCAGGTTGGTATCTATACTTTGGTCTGTGTGGGTGTTCTAACTGGGGTGAATAGAATATAAGATTTTGTTCATTTGTTTAACAGGGACCTCCCGGCTGCCAATACAAAATTTTCCTGCCTCAGCATGGAGACCTAAGATTGTATGTATTCCCAGCAACGTTATTGCTTTATGACCTGTATTTTGAGTATCTATGTTTCCCAGATGACATGATCTGCTCTCTTCATACTAGGCAACATGGTGAAGAATGAGGTTCTCTGAGAGAGATCTTTGGAAGCAGGCCTTCAAAGACACATCCTTTGTAGAGATAAGCCGACTAAGAAACCAGAAAGTCTTACCACAAAGTGTCTTAAAGACTTTAGGGTCGGGAAGAAAATTTTTCTGATGAGGCCAGAAATCCCAGCAGCAAGCTAAGGATCGTGCAACAGATATCTATGTTATAATTACATTACATTGATTTTATTTTTTATATCACATAATTCATTTCTTAATTCTACATGTGAGCCATTAACATATTGCCATCATCGTTTTTCAAATACTATAAAATAAACATTAAGGGTCCAAGTCTGAGCCAGGCTATGATGACACACCCCTTTAATCCTAGCACTCAGGAGGCAGAGGCAAGTGGATCTCTGTGAGTTCACGGTCGTCTGGTCTACAGATCCAGTTCCAGAACAGCCAGAGCTATACAAAGAAACCCTGCCTCAAAAATAAATAAATAAATAAAAAAGGCTCCAAGTCTGGGGAGATACTTTAGTTGTTGAAGTGCTTGCTGTGTAAGCCTGAGTAACTGAGTTTGAACCCCAGAACCATGGGGTGTGTGTGTGTGTGTGTGTGTGTGTGTGTGTTTTAATTTTATGATCATCGGTGTTTTGCCTGCATGTCTGTTAGAGCCCTGGAACTGGAGTTACAGATAGGTGTGAGCTACCATGTATGTGCTAGAATTGAACCCAGGTCCTCTGGACTAACAGCCAATGCTCTTAACTTATGAGCCATCACACCAGCCCCCAGAATCTAAGTTTTCAGAAAAGCCATTCCTGAGCACATACCTTTAATCCTAGACCTTCAGAGGCTCAGGCTGTAAAATCTCTGTAAAATTCAAGGCCAGCCTGTCTACATATTGAACTGTAGGCCAGCCAAGGCTACATAGTAAGACCCTGTCTCAAACAAACAGACAAAACAAAAATCAGGCATGGTCACTTGTAACTACAACACAGGTCAAGACCTGGACTAGGCCTCCTGAGGACAAACATGGGGGGTTGACCTTGGCTAGCTTCATATTCACACACAACAGCAACAACGAAACGTTGAATCCAAGCCCCTCTATAGTTAGGCTCTCTTACTTCCCCAGTCATTCCACAGCTCTCCTCGTTCTCGAATACCCATAGAAACAGTCCAGCACGTACCTGGATCCTCAGCAAGACCTCCAGCACAGGTTTCAGATGTTTTATGTGCACATATATGCATATGCATATGCACATGTGAAGGCAAATTAAAATATAC